TGTCTCTGTATCTTATCGGTAAGGCTACCGTAGTCATCATAACTCGCGTAAAACTTTTGCTGCGTGCCCCTTTTTTCGATTTTCATCGTTGGTTCTGTGCAACAGTTTGATAAGTTTTGGGTAGGGAACGGTAAAGGTATTGTCGTGACGCCATGACATGTTTCTAGGTCGTCACTGTCGATACTCACTTCTGTTTTCTATATTTTTTAAGCAATGATTAAAAAATCGGGCTCCGCAGGAAAAGTATTTTTGTCGGAAGGCTTCAAGTTGGTGCAATCAATTCAGTGACATTGCTTTCTAGAAGGACATTTTTGGGTGCAAAGTTTCCGGCTCTTGTCCACGAGATAAACTACTAACACATAAAAAAGTAAGTTCCATTCCCCCTTAATGTATGATTTTACATACGAAGATCTTCAATAAGACAAATTGATTGAATGAAGGCCATTCTACGGTAAGCGGCGCGATATTCAAATGTGTATTTACCTAGTTCCATTGGATCCTCCAATGAAGAAGGAGAAAATCGTTTTTAAAACCAAGTGTTTACTAAGTCTACGATTTTGGCTACAACTCGGACATAGCAAAGATACGGAAGCGGTTGTTAGGGTCGTTAAGTATTTCATGGAGCACAGAACGTGATGAGCAACATCGAGCATGTCCGTTCCGTAATCCGTAACGGGTTACGTGAAAAAAACAATTACCCCGCCAATATTTCCATGGGTGAAATATCATTACCTGTCACCTGTTATTATCTGTCAATATATAAAAATTAAAAAAAATTGAATATCACGCCGCTTACGTGTTCCGTGAACCGTGGCATTATACAATGGCCTTAAGTTTCGTTATCAGAACGAAATTTAAATATCTTGTTCAGTCGATAGCTTTTGCTAGTAAATAAGTGAGGATCGGACACGAACGGCATAAAAATTGCTGTAAGAATGAAGAATTCACTCAAATTTAAGTTGAATATATCTAATATCCTAGATGCTCCATCGCAACTTTATGCGGAACCAGTGCAAATTACAAATTTTAAACGTCAGGAATATGATGATGACGTCAGTGAAAATGGAAAACTGTAAGTGTTG